ACTCAATGCTTATTACATTCATGTCAACAGTTAGCCTGCTTGATGTCCTGGAGTAAAGAAGAAGATTTTTAAAGATTGCACTAATTTTAGTGGTTTTGGCCCACCCCTCAGGCCCTAGGGGGGCTGGGACCATGAAATTCACAATTTTTGTTCCCCTTCACCCATAGATGCTGTATACCAAATTTGGTTGAAATTGGTCTAGTGGTTTCAGAGAAGAAGCTGAAAATGTTCAAATGTTAACACACGACACACGACGGACGACGGACGAAAACGGAAAGCAATAGGTCACCTGAGTGACTCAGGTGACCTAAAAAGACATAATTTGCTTTGGAATTGATGTAGAATGGTGCCTTGATTGATTTATCATGTAGACATGGTAGATATGCTCTTTTTGTGAGGCGATGATCTACTCTGGTAGATCATAGGTGCCCTTTGTTTTTGTTTAGCTCCCAAAAAGCACTGAGAACTCTTCCAAACAACCTCATGACAATCAATAAACATAAGATAAATATTAAGATATTTACCAGTTCATCTTTACTGCATCTCTCACATTCTGTCAGAGCTTTTGCTTTCTTTGAGGGACATGATTTGTTCAGCTTAACTAAAAAAAAAAAATCCTTATTAAAACATTTAATTCATTTTTTTTCAGTGTTATACTTGTTAGATTGATGTTGGATCAAAGTCATTACATACTGTGGTAACACAATTTATGAGAATGACCTTTAGGCTTATAACATTTTTCTATTGCATAATATGGTCAGAACAGGAATTACACATGTACATTTAACTGAAAATGATCTTGAACTTGGTTATATATGACCGTGATGACCTTGTGTGAAGATTGTGACAGACCATCAGGTCATATGCAATCATTCTAAGAGGAACAAGCTTCATGTTTCTCCATCAAAATTTTATCTGTCAGTGTCTTTGATACTGTTGGAATCCTGGTCAAGGTCACAACTCATTTCCAAGTCATAAGCAGTCATTATATTTAGTATGAATTCTTTAATATATCACCATTAAAAAGCTTTGGCCAGAACCAAATTTCACAGAGATAGACAGCTGAAGAAAGTGATTCCTATATACCTCAAATCTTTATTTGAACAAGGTATTAAAAAACGTGTAATTTATTGTACAAGTATCAGGCTCAGCTGCCTTCTTACACACTATGTATATCCTCTTACTTATTTTTCATTCTTAACTCAAAACATCAGAGGTAGTATTTGTAAATATATGAAAGTTAAGCAAATTAAGAGGTCAAGGAGATACTTTAACTTTTCTGAATTACAAAATTAAGGTCAAATTAATAGAACCTAGGGATGACTTACCAAGATTAGATGGAAATTTAACTTCTTTTATTTTGTGTTGCGTTGGCCATGCACTTTCAACAACCAATATTATTACAGAAATACTACAAAGAGAAAAAATATAATTTAATTAAGAACAAATGTAAACCCATAAATTAACAAATCTTAATAGTGTAAATAATATTTAGAGTGTTACTGGTGAAATTGAAGCTAGATGATACATGCTACTGTCATAAATGTTGTATATTTTAATTATTTTTCCAAGGCAATTTTCCAGTCTATGCATTTGTCATCTGATACAATACCATTATAATTTTTTAATATGAAAATGTTATTTTACTTCTGTACCCCCACCAAATTTTATGAAGAGGTTGATGCGTCTGTATCATATGCATTCCTATTACAATGTTCCAGTGACCGCTGTATTTAAATGACTGTTCATTGTCTGCCATGGATGACTCATTTTTATCACAATGTCAGATCCAATATTATAAAACTAGATTTTCTGTATCTGCTACTGTTTCTCAAACAGTGCAGATTCAGATCATTTGATTTTAATAATGTAATAGGAAAGGAGAAGATTATGACTGGACAGGGAATTTAAGTCCAGGACCCCTGCAACTGTAGTCAGGTGCTCTACTGACAGAGCTACAAAAGCCGACATCCACCGCCCATACCATTACATTCCACCCTCTTAATTCTTATTTTGTTTCCTTCTAGGTTTACCACTATGTTACAATATCTAATCATTTTTCTCCTTTTAAACAACATTCTTCTCAACATTTGGTCATTTTGGGGTGGGTTTTTTTTTAAATTTATTTAACATGAATGATCTGACTAAAGTGAGCTACAAAGGAATTTAATGTTGGTTTGTTGCTTAGAGTGTGTCAAAGATCTGTGATTCCTAGCAGAAATCATATTATTACATTTTAAGTGATAGTATATAGACTTTGTGTCTCATGATCATATGTATATGATTGACTGACAGATAATATTAAATGCCAATGGTTAGCAACTACTACAGTCTTTAACTACTAACTACATGTATACTCGATTCTCATTATATCGCAGTATAATCCAAAAAATCCAAAAAATCAGATACATGGCTCATATGCTTTTTGTTGAAAAACTATCATCTGAATGTAACTTTTTGTGATGATTAAAAAGTATGGAACATGCGTCGGAAAAAAATTATTCAAATAAAACGTAATTTTACAGAAATCCATTATTATTTTTAGCCCACTGAGTTTATAATCTAGTGAAATCTATATAAAGTTCATGTTTGAAAGTCTTTAGTTCGTATAATTGTTTATTTTCTTATGTAGAATTACATGGTAAAATAAAAAATAAGAATTGAAGTCCATGTCAACTTCAAGTTTCCATGTTTTCCCATACCGCGATATTATCAATTATGAGACTCTCCGATTTAGGAGGTAAATAAGACTTCGTGTTTTAAAAATAGACTACAAATTAAACGATGCAAGATTGGGAAATAATTTGATGATAAAAAGTTAGGCCATAGGTTGCTTTATGAATATCATTTGATGAAAGTTAAATTTAAAAAATTGAATTACACTTTTTTATGCAAAAGATTTAAAGGCAGAGATTTTTTACCGGGTGGTAAATTCCAGGTGAGGGAGGGGCTTATATTGTACAGGTGTGAATGCCTTGGGGGCTAGCAGACTACCTGTGGTCACCTGTCTCCTAATCCCTATACACAGGAAGTGATTTAATACACAGTGAAATACCCAGATGTCAAACTTTACCTGTGTTATGAATTTTGAGACAATTTTAAAATTATATGGTAATAAAAAGGTTTTTCAATTATAGATATATTGATTTATTTTTGACTGTTTTAAAACAACCCTTCCCATTTAAAAAAAAGTATTATGATATCATTCTATAAATTCCAATATTAAAACAAAGATTGTTTTAGATGTTAGACTTGTGTATGTGTTTATTTAAAAAAAAACATCTCTTGTTACAACTAAATTACACCTAATTCATTCATCCCTAGGATCCCATCTATCATGACACATGCTTAAAAAATTGTTTGTAAATTCTTATCTGAATAAAAAAGAGAAAATATAAGTTACCCATGATCAGAAACATTATTTTTAAATTTTATTACTTCACACAGTGTTGCTCTGAACTTTTTCAATAACAATTCCACTTTTGGTTTACCATTTAGCATATTAAAATTAATATCAACATTTCATTTCAAAAAAAAGATTTATGTACTAAAGGTTATTTTTTAATGATCATAATCGTTTCAAAAACTGTGTATATTAAATTCATATATTCTCCTTTTGAAAAAAAAATCATAGGTAATACATGTGTAGTTTTTATATACCATGTTCATTAAACATCAAAGGATCAAAAGTTAATTAGAGCGTCACCACGAGGAATTTAATGTTGGGTATACACAGTGTGTCAAGATCTGTGATCCTCAAGTTCCAGCATCCAATGATGGACATTTTAAGTGCACTTGATTGACAGGTGTCTCATGATCATGGTATTTTTGAAGGCGGTGCTTAAAATCTCTGCCTTTAAGTACCGCGATATAATGAGACACCAGTATATATTGTGTGTCACAATACAGTATTTCCTTATTCAGTTTCTCAATAAAATGTCTATTAAGGCTTAAAATGTTTGAAAACCCTTACCTAAAGAGTAGGAAAATGGCAAATGCCATTTTCTTTTTAGTACAATACTCAAGCATCCTTCTTTGCCATCATAATTCTGGGTTGAATTTACGCTTGCAACTGAAATAGAAATAACCAGATAAAAACGTATTTGTGTCAATTATTAATCAGTAAAATCAATACAAGCACGAATAAATATCGTCAAATGTATCATAAAAATGTTTTCTTCAAACTATTTAAGCTTAGGATACGTAAGAAGGTTAATAAAGGCGTATTTATATTACCAATTTTATCCGGCTTTCTTAAATTTATACGTACATGATGTTCCATTAAAGAGCTCGGTTGATCTGGATCACAACTAAGCGGAGAAGGTCACAGTGGGAGAAAATGATCCGTTCTTCGTGTAAAAAAGGAACCCAAAAGGACCCAAAAGGAAATTAAGCAAACAGGACTTGAAATAAAGAGAATAAATGGATATATAATAATATACTTTCATATTTTATTTTTTTTACCACTACATGTTATTTCTCTGTCAGAGATACACCCATCTGAAATTGGAAACATGTCATTAAATAAAACTTTATTTCTTTTCTTATATATCATATACATGTAGTAAGATATGAAATAATTTACTGTATGAATTGTTTACTTTGTTAATTTCATGTAAAAGATATTAAAGCATTTCCTACAAAAATTAATAACATGCCTTTGAAAATCATAGGCATTTGTTTCAAGAAAAGTTGCAACAATATAAATGTATGTTTTTGCCAACTTTTAAGTAAATTTATAATATAATATTTATAATTTAATTCAAATTATTAATTTTCAATGTATATTAATATATTTATTTGAGTCCTTTTGATTTCCTTTTGGGTCCTTTTGGGTTCCTTTTGCCTTTTGGGTTCCTTTTGGGTCCTTTATTGGGTTCCTTTTATTCCTTTTGGGTGCCTTTGTGAATCTACGCACTCAAGCGCTCTGTTGATAACTCACAACTAAGCGGATGAAGGTCACAGTGGGTAGAAAATGATCCGTTCTTCCAAAAAACTCGGAAGTTTCTGTCCTAAACGCAGTCAGCAAACAGATTCAATCTGGGTGTCCCGCTGGTATGATGCATAATATACACGAATTCTTGTATTTTTTACCACTACATGTTATTTCTCTGTCAGAGATCAGCTCTGAAATTGGAAACGGTTCTCACCGGTAGAACATGTAGAACTTGTATATTTACTTGCGAGAAGAAATAATTTACTGTATGAATTGTTTTTTGACTTTTTTAATTATGTGTGCAATTTTATCCATTTCCTACAAAAATTAACAACATATTGAAATTAACTACAATTACTACCCACCTTTAAAAGTCATATTAGCATTTGTTTCAATCATGTATACAGTAAGTATACAGAAAGTATGAAACAAACGCCTTCCTTGGTAAAATATGTGGGTTACAGTCATAGATGGGACTTCATTTGTCCAGCCAGTGTACGCCAGATACGTTGTTTGACCTTTGGTAACTGGGCTTGTTACTTCATTTGACTGGGGAAGGTTCAACAGGCTGATCTCCCCGGACTGAATTGACCAGCAAGGAATTTGCCGGTGTTAGTCATGTTGTAGTAAGATAAAACTACTATTGAAATGCTCATACTTAAAACCAATTTGGCATGTTTTAAATTGTTTTCATTTCTTGAACAAATCTCAATTCATCTTTTTAAAATTGCCCCCCCCCCCCCCCCCGCAATTTTTTTTTCATGAGGTCCATGATTTTTTGTTAAAAATTGGATCGTGAATTATTAAAATATGTTTCCCGTAGACATAATGTAAAAGTGATAGATCTAAATTAAATGATTTTTTTTACTATAATTATTTTTTGTTTTTGCTGATATACTTCACTTGCCACTAAGCTGTTTTACACTTGTCATAATTATGACTGGCGCAATTCGACGTATGCTTATCTTTGACAAATGAAGTCAGCCCACAAGTTTTTGTTCTATAATGATCCAGTAAGCTTGTTTACTCTTCTTTGTTTATATTTTATAGTATTCTCTATTGAGAAGCCGATGACTTTTTTAGTTCTCCCCTCGACTTCCCAAAAGCATATAGTAATAAAGGCAGTTCAGAAATTAACTAAATGAAGAACCGGACCAGACTCCACTTCAATTGATCTTTTAGGTCTAATGGGACATCATTGGCATAGTTTGAATCAATGCACAGATGTTATTTTGCCATGGAAATGCTGTTTATACCCATTCGTCTGACGTAAAACATGTTTTTAATGATAGAAATCTGACTTTTGTTATCTGTGTCACCAGATTCATTTATTCATTCAAAACTGCCTTTGCGCCTATGTATAATGATCTCTTAAAAAGCAGGGTGGTCCCTTAGATCTGGGGACCAGGGAATTTCCCTGCTTATAATGCCGTAATCCCTTGGTTACTTTGGTATTCCTCTCCACTCCCCTGGTAGGAGAAGAAACCCAGATCATCTTCTACTCTTTTAATGTCCCCTGCTATTTTGATTCTTAGGGAAATCCCTGAAAAGTCTGTAACTGAGCAGTAAGGCAGATGTTATGTTTTCATTAATTTATTCAATGAAAAAAGGCATTGATCTAAAAAAACAAAGTATATAATAAGTCAAAAATACAAAAATTGTGATTTCAATACTAGTAAATTAATATTGTTTTCATTTCAGCTAAACTCCATGAAAAAATGTGTACTGTAAACAATTCAAATTGAAATCTTACAACCCCACACATCACTTTACCCAAAAATACAATAAAGTAAATCTGGCTATCAAAATAATAACTACTCAAATCTTTGATGGATGGGAGTTGAAACAAGCTGATCAATTATTTCTCCAGATAAATTGGATTAATTATTCCAGTGTGAAAGTTACATGTTTATAAAAAAGTGCTTTTCTGGGATGAGGATTTTGCTTATTATTTACATAATTTGTTTATATATTTCAGCTGCTGTGACTGGATTGAGAGGATATTCTGACACTGGTCCTAAACCCCACACATCACTCTACCCAGTGGTCAGTGAGGGAACCTGGCTACAGAAGAACAACTACTCCCAGTTTGATGGATGGGAGCTGAGACAGCTTTTTTACATTGTTTATTTGTTTTGTTTAACAGTATAATTCATGAATATACCGAAGTGCAGGGGATAGAGGATTTTGCTTATTATATACGTAATTGTGATTCATTATACCCAACAAGTTTACAGTATATCATAAAGCCATGATACAGGAAATGAAAATCACATTTTCTGTAAATGATTGCTTATTCGTTATAACTATAAGCACGTTTACTGTTATAAGTGCTGTGTTTTACTGTACACATATGAATCCTTGAAGAGTAAAAGCTTTATTTTATTTATGGTACAATTACAGTAATTTTCTTTGAGTAAGCCAGTATAGTTAATATTTTTCAACAAGGAAATTGGAAGAGAATTGAAAAAAATGCAGATTAAATGATTCTATCTAAAGAAGTATTAGTAAGATAGCCTCAACTAATTATGTGATTTGCCTTTACCTTACTGTACAAGAAAATGTATGATGAATTTATTGACTTATCTTTTACAGGCTGACGATGGAGTACCAGAGCCAGAAATTTGTATAGAGATCCTGAAGGGCTGCAGGAACCAGAACGACTACGCCCTGGCCACCCGCTTCCTGGAAGTCGCAAGGGTAGGAGTTTTAGGATGCATATTTGTCTAGCAGACTCCTACCGTGTATTCTTATATTTGTAAAATGTTTAATTACAGTTCAGTTAAAAGACTTATCTGAATGTGTGCATATCAGTATACACATATTATATTTACAGATTGGTGATTTTCATATTTTAAAAAAAATAATATGTAAAGTAAATTGCTGCACTATGTGTCAAACCCTGCCTTTTTTAGGCATAGTACATGCATAATGCAACACTATTGTTATTATTATGCTGACTGTTGTTATTATTTATGCGGCAATCCATTTGAATTTTTCCTAAAAATACCTTATGCTAACACAGCGCACTTGCAAGAACTCATTCAAAATCTTCATGCTAAAATTGGTTGCATGCTTGGTTATTTTGGTTACCAGTATTTTCTCTAAGAAAGTAGATGATATGTGAAAAGCAACTTCTTTATTTTCTGTTTTGTTTAAGACTTATTTGTTTGCAGACGTTTCTCATTGATAATATTTCTTTAACAATCCTTTGAAGTTTTCCTTTTAATGATTCAAAAATCAGTTCAACTAACGATCTGTATGTAATTAGTTTGAGAGATTTGTTGTACAAAACTGATTAAAATATAACTGTTTTCAAAAAAATTTGTAAATTTTCTCCTTTTGTGTCAATGTATAAATTAAGTTTATATATCAGTTATGTAAAATTCTCCCAATTGTTCGTCTCTGTGGCGTAATCGATAAGGCATCATTCCAAGTTTTTTCCCGGTGTGTGCTTAGAAGAATTTTCTTCACAAAAGGGCCGTGCACTATTTCGGCATAGTATGCTTACGCTATATAAATCCTTACACACAAATAAAACATATAAACACAACTGACAGGAAGCATAATAATATTAGATTTACAGTTTGGTGATTTTCATATTTTAAAAAATTATATAATATAAAAAATATTTAATTTTTTTTTTTTTTTTTTTTTTAGAAAAATGCATGTAAAGTAAATTACTTTATTAAAAACAAGTGCAAATGTTATTACTTAAACTAATAATTAGTTTTTTTTAATTGTAAAAAAATGATTTCAAAAAATTCAACTAAATTAATCAATTATGCAGGACTCAACATTGCAGGAACTAGTGTGTTTTTTCTTAAATGGGGTGTCAAAAACCAGAGTTATGGCTAGAGAAAGTAGACGATATGTGAAAACTTAATGGCCTTAGGTTTGAATCAAACCTTTATTTTTTATAAAATTAAAATTTTTTTAAGTTTCAAAACTGAATTTTTTGATTTTTAGAAAGAGATACACAAACCCTATGAATACCAATTTAAAAATTCTTGTAAATAATCTAGTTGGTGTTTATGTATTTGTGGAAATCCTGTATATAAGTTATGTAAACATGATCAAATATTTGTTTTTCTGTATATTTCGGTATTAAAGTCAAAGCTTTCAATATGTATAAAAAAAATTTTATGTGGGATTTTGAATTTTGTTGCATAATTATGAAATTTAAAAAATGAATATTTGTACATTTAATGATAAAACAGAATATACAGGTTATAATTTTATGAATTATGGAACCTGCAGTATATAATTTTGTGAATGATGGTATATTCAGATTATAAATTTATGAGTTTTGAATTATGTACATTATAATCATTTTTTTTTTCCAGGAGTGTTGACTATTAAAGTGTGGTATAATGTGGTGTTTGATATAGGAAGGAAAGAGACATTATTTAAAATTTACAAAGGATGTGTTGTTAAAAATGTTTACCTGAATAAACAACTTGAATTACCTCTTCAAAATTGTCTCCTTGTGTTTTATTATGTATTCAGTACACATTCATATTTCAGATGAATACTATCAAATGGCATTGGTTTTCCCTTAAAACTTTGAATGATGGTGATAAGATCTTCTTTGTTAAAACTTCTGGTTGTTTTTTAGCTCACCTCAACGAAGTTGGGGGGAGCTTATGTGATACCCTCGGCGTCGGCGTCGGTGTCGGCGTCGGCGTCGGCGTCCCAGGTTAAGGTTAAGTTTTTTGGAGCAGTTTTCTTTTTAATTACTTCTGTGTCCTATACTGATTAGACATGCATGGAAAATGGTTTTGTGTGTTTTATTGTACCAGACAAAGTTTCAGATGCTGCAATTTCAGCAAAAGAATTACTAGGTTAATGTTTTTGGAGCAGGTTAACATTTTTGGTGCAGTTTTTGGTGTGGGTTTCATTTCCAAGTAACTGTCAGGCCTATGTTGACCAAACTTGCATGGATGATACATCTAAGGATGCATACTACCGGGATTGCTTCGGATGCTGAATCTGACCTACATTTTCCGGTTGAGTGAACAGGTTAAAGTTTTTGGTGCAGGTTTCATTTCCAAGTAACTATAAGCCCTATGTTGACCAAACTTGCATGGATGATACATCTAAGGATGCATACTACCGGGCTTGCTTCGGATGCTGAATCTGACCTACATTTTCCGGTTGAGTGAACAGGTTAAAGTTTTTGGTGTAGGTTTCATTTCCAAGAAACTATAAGCCCTATGTTGACCAAACTTGCATGGATGATACATCTAAGGATGCATACTACCGGGCTTGCTTCGGATGCTGAATCTGACCTACATTTTCCGGTTGAGTGAACAGGTTAAAGTTTTTGGTGCAGGTTTCATTTCCAAGTAACTATAAGCCCTATGTTGACCAAACTTGCATGGATGATACATCTAAGGATGCATACTACCGGGATTGCTTCGGATGCTGAATCTGACCTACAATTTCCGGTTGAGTGAACAGGTTAAAGTTTTTGGTGCAGGTTTCATTTCTAAGTAACTATAAGCCCTATGTTGACCAAACTTGCATGGATGATACATCTAAGGATGCATACTACCGGGCTTGCTTCGGATGCTGAATCTGACCTACATTTTCCAGTTGAGCGAACAGGTTAAAGTTTTTGGTGCAGGTTTCATTTGCAAGGAACTATGAGTTCTTTAATGACCAGTCTTGCATAGATGATACATCTAAGGATGCATACTTCCAGGCTTGCTTCGGAAGCTGAATCTGACCTACTTTTTGTGGATGAGTGAAAATGTTAGTTTTAATGCATGTTTCATTTCCAATAAACTATGAGCCCTATAATGAGCAAACTTGCATGGATGATACATCTAAGGATGCACACTAATGGACTTGCTTCGGATGCTGAATTGGACATACATTTTTCAGATAATAGACAAGGTAAAAGTTATGGTTGCAGGTCTATTACCAAAAACTATAAGGCTTATATAACATTGTATAAACCAAACTTTCACAAATGCTGCATCAAGAGATGAAAACTCTCAAATTTGCTTCAGATGCTGGATTTTCATTACATTTTCATGAAGAAGAAGTAGTTTAAATTTTTTATGTAGGTCTATTTCAAAGTATCAGATCAAAATTGCTTTTAAAAATATTTTCATTTTTGGAATGTATACTTTTTGTTGGTTAATTGTGTGACTTTGCCTTACTTAAAGACAACATTCGTTGAGGTGAGCTCTGTAATCTCTGATTACCTATGTTTTTTTGCCTGTTGTTAACTTGTTACAGAAGTTTAAATTGGTTGATCTATGTTTAAAAATTATTCAAGGAATTTATCAGTTTCCGATGACATTGGTAAAGATTTCTTGAATTCTTTTGTCTACACTTTGCTGTTTATAGTTTTAACCATTACTTGTTTAAAAGTAAATTGGATACAGAGCATATTTTTAGCATGTATACATCTATAAACAATGCCCGTTTGAAGTTCAGAATCAAATCAGATTTTTATTTGGTTGGAATATTTGTTTATCTGTCCAGCAAAGATCCTTTGGGCAAGTTCAGTTAACACATTAATAAAAATTTCTTATTAGTGCTGTACTTTGTAATGCAGAGATGGTGTAGGTGGTCATAATGCATAGGAGTACCTAAAGGTGTCATCTGGACCAGATAAAAAAATATTTAATAGGGTTTTATAATCAGTCTGATGAAAATCAGATCCTTGATCTGCTCCTTTATTTTTAGCTCTGCTGGTCAGAGACCAGAAGAGCTTATGCGATAGTAATGCGTCCGTCGTCTGTCCGTCCGTCTGTCTGTCTGTAAACAATTTTTATACCCCACGCAACTAGTTGCGTGAGGTATAATGTTTTAGACCCGTCCGTCAGTCAGTCAGTCCTTTTTTTTTGTCAGCGCAACTCCTCATAAACCGCTGCACAGAATTTCGTCAAACTTTGCAAGTATTTAGGACACAATGTGTAGATGTGCATATTACCAGGAAATTCCGATTCCATTATTTTTTCCGGGAATTTCCGCACTTTTTAACTTAGGCATTTGGCCATACCTTGAATATAGAGATGAACAGTTTGTCAGCGCAACTCCCCAAAAACCGCTGCACAGAATTTCGTCAAACTTTGCAAGTATTTAGGACACAATGTGTAGATGTGCATATTACCAGGAAATTCCGATTCCTTTATTTTTTTTTAGAATTTCCACACTTTTCAACTTAGATTTTTGGCCATACCTTAAATATAGAGATGATTTTGTCAGCGCAACTCCTCATAAACCGCTGCACAGAATTTCGTCAAACTTTGCAGATATTTAGGACACAATGTGTAGATGTGCATGTTACCAGGAAATTCCGATTCCTGTATTTTTTTTTTTTTTTTAGAATTTCCACACTTTTCAACTTAGATTTTTGGCCATACCTTGAATATAAAGATGAACATTTTGTCAGCGCAATTCCTCATAAACCGCGGCACAGATTTTCGTCAAACTTTGGAGATATTTAGGACACAGTGTGTAGATGTGCATATTACCAGGAAATTCCGATTTCTTTATTTTTCTGGGAATTTTGGCACTTTTCAAATTATATTTTTGGCCATACCTTAAAAATATACAGATGAACATTTTGTCAGCGCGACCCCTCATAAACCGCTGCACAGAATTTCGTCAGACTTTGCAGATATTTAGGACACAATGTATAGATGTGCATTTTACCAGGAAATTCCGATTCCTTTATTTTTCTGGGAATTTCGGCACTTTACAACTTAGATTT